GACGTGCCAAGTTAACATTTATTCCAAGAATAGAGATGTCTCTATTAAGAATAGACATATCTGTGTATGCGGATCAAATATTAACTTTGCACGCTTCTGAATACGGGGTATGTGTATCTTATACGTGAATTGGAGAATCCTTTATCAACAGAACTTATCCCTAAATACACATGTAGAATTACCCCGTAATCAATGAAAAGGTAACTTGCCGTGTCTAATGTCTACTTCAAATTAATGTAATTAATTGAGATAAGTTGCTGTTGTTTTTACGGCGATTTACCGTAAAAAAGTTACTGTAAATCATTAACAGTATACTATCGGCGCCCATGCTGCCAGTAAGGTACTGCGACATTTTACAGGAAAAGAAAATTACAGTGGGCCGGGGGACACACCAGGCCGGCGAGGCACAGGCCACAGGGCTCACGCCAAATCAATGAAAAAGTGCTCTCTTGCCCATAGCACCGCGACGGTTGTACGCGTCTCTGTTCAAGATAAGTCTTCCGGACAGCAGCCGTCGGGGCTTTATCGGATCGTGGCCAGGTTCTGTTTGCACTCTGGCGAACTCATGCACGAATTCCTTGAGTTCGCTAAAGAAAGGCTGACTTAATCCCAACCTGGCCCGTGCTGAGTTTCAACAAAAGTTACGTTACGTGCGCTGCGATTTTCACTTGCAAACTCCCACGAAGCTGAGTCCTTTCTTCCTGTTGTGAGGAGGTGAGATTGGACTGGACACTGAACCTTATTCAAACGCGACCAAAGTGGTTTGCTGTCGTTCACATGCTTTCAAAGCATCGAGCTTACTTTGAACGGTTACCTTTGTATACACTAAAAGAATGTGTACACATTGTACTTTGTTCATGAAACGTTTATGCGGGTAATTATACCCAACTACCCATGGACTACAAATACACACAGTTACGTGTCGAGCTCGGTGTACATGTACATTGTACATGTACATGTACATAACTCCCACGATAATACAAACTCACAAACACTGTGCTCTGCTATCTTGTTGACATAACCCGTATAAGTTAACTGTGCAAATTCAAAACTTACAATTTTCGCATGGTCGGTTGAGCTTCTTGCTTGTGATTTTGAGTTTAACCCCTCCCATCGTAGAGGCAAAGTCTCCGCGGGTCCAGCTTCCTTCTCTCCGCAGCCATCCTCCTCAAGATACGTGGAATCACTGTTCATCATCGGACCCCGGCAAACATGTACAATGTAGGTTACCCCACAATACTAGCTGCCAAGGGGTCGACCGCGAGCTCGTGTCGTTCTGTCAAGGTTTCCCGGTGCACGCTGCGTACGTCTGCTGCTAGGTTTATTGAAGTGGACTGGCGCTGGGCGAACTTTGCTACAAGGTCACGCAGAGAACTTGAAGGTTGGAGACCGGTGTTGGTCGAATTTCGAGAGTCGACTAAAATGATGGTTCGGTCTCTCGCTGTCTCCGTGTTTTCTATAGGTGTTTCCGTCCGTCTGTTCGTCGCCTGGGGTCTATCTCCGAAGTACTGTCGAATCATCATTCATACATCTCATAACTCCTTTTCCCGTCGCCTTTCGGGTAGAGCCGGATTACAGCCGGCCCACATTTAGTTGGGGACAGCCTCATCATATGTAGTCTCCAAACTCGGCAGAAAACAAGATCTCGTCCCCAAAGAGCACAGTCGTACTCCCATACTAATATTGCTATAACTCGCTCTGCAGAAGGCACTGTGACCCCTACCTGGCTGGGGGCAGGGTACGTCTCCCAAAGCGCAAAGCACGAATCTACTCGCTGCAAATAATGACGGCGGCGTGTCTAATTTCACTGAGCACTGCAAAGCCAGGAACACTGCAGGTAAGCAGAGTCGACAGACTAGACCTACCTGCAAAAAAAGGATTCTGCCATCCAAGGGCTTTTGAATTTGAGCTGCGCGCGCCCGGGCTCGTCTGACAGTTCAGGCTCGCCAACAAAGAATTGGCCCACAAGTAAAGATGACACAGGAATCTGTCCCGCGGACGTTATTAGTGAAAGGCACGAAGTTATAGTGCGGTATTTTATTCCTCCCTGGTTTAATAGTGGGACTTTTCCCTCGCCAGCACACTGCAGGCAGGTAGAAATCAGCCACGGCTTACTCGAGCTGGGTGTGCAATCCGAGCGGGACATAATGTAGCTCACCGTCAGACGATCACAGAGCCGCCAACAGGCACTCATGTCCGCTGTACATTCAGTCACGTGATTACGAATTGCCGTCCTCCACACACACGATGACCCAAGGCAACCGGTGATCGTTTTCTTTTACTAGGCCACGGCGTAATGAAATTATCGAACACCGAGATGGCAGGGTAATCAATAAAAACAAAGCGGGGAACATTAATATCGCCTTCTCAACAGTAGAGCCTCGTGAGAACGCTGCAGCTGAACACATATATGCAATCACTGACGGCATAATCGGGCGGTCATGAACTCACGATATAGCGGTGCGGACTGCTTATCGACAATTCGTAAATAAGACCCAGTAGAATATTCATTGCTGGCGTTCGATACCCAAGCATGAATCAGTTGCTGTTGACGGACTTACAGAAAAGATCGATTTCAAAGTCCCCACACTGTTGTCCGAGTATAAGGGCTCGTGTTCACCACACAATGTTTTGACCGAGAATTTGGGCCTCTTTCTCTCCGAAGACGGTTCACTGCCCGCTCAAGGTTTATATTGAATGAAGTATAATCCTGCATGCATCATTAAGTTTGGGTCCCTTCCATTTATTTCTCAATAAAGGCGCTTTATTTTTTATCCTTTCACTTTGTTAAAAGGTCCAGGATAGACTGCCTGAAGGTGCTTACAGCTAACGAAAGGGGCGTAGCGACCGGGGTGTTGGTGGGTGTGTGTATGGGGGGTAGGTGCCCCAATAATTAATCCCACAGAGCCGGCAGATGGAGTTTTGGTCGGCAAATGAATCCACAGTTGGAACATAAACGATAAAACGTTGGCCGTTTGGCATTTCCCCCTGAAACATGAAATGTAGCGTCCCACGCTATGTCCATTTTCCGTACTTCATGAATTTTACACGACACGACTAGGTTGGCGAACAAGTTAGAAGTCGGCAAATTGACTCTGGCGCACCCTTCCCCTCCCAAGAAAATGCCTTAGCTACGCCCCTGGCTAAGGACTGTGACTGAAACTTCAATTTGATAATTACAGAGTTCAAATCACTTATTTGGAATGAATGCTATCGTAGAGAGACAAAATGAACTTTGAAGGACATGTTACCAACGAGTCAAACGACAGCTTATAAGACAAGCAGATGTGGCATTTCTGAATATTAGGCAATATATAACAAAATTCATTTCTTTGAATCAATATATTATGATCACTGACAAGCAAACTGGGTGAGATGCAGTTTCTCTAGACTTATGATAACCCCACGAACATACACTGTTCGCTCAAGATTGATCATAGCCCAGCCAGCGAGACAGCCGCAATGCACTTTGCACCGGCGGGCCCCACCCATGACAGGAACGGCCCAAGGCTGTATTTACAGCCGCCCACAGTCGGTCACGTGAAGACAAGACGCTGGCAGCAGTGGCCACCCAAGGCCCCCTTTGAGTTTCCACGTCGTGTTGCATGACAACCGAACGTAGGTGTTGGGTGAGGAAAGTCACAAGATACCAATCATGCATGGAACTTCACCTCATTTTAACATTTTAAAAAAACCTGTTTCAAGTGTGCACTCCTCCCGTTTTCGGCTTCCATCCATCGTTTTTAACCCTCCAGTTCACCTACCAGAGAATGTTCTAATAGCAGAGAACTCCCAGCGTGCAAAATGGGACTAATATGGAGGCCGAAAAGTGGTAATTAAGCAGATTAAACGTTCAACTTTTTGTATGAGTTTTCGATTTTGAAATAAAAAACTTTGCTGCCACCTGAAAAGCAGACTCAATTTTGTCTTTTTTTTTGTTTGTTTTTTATTTTAGATTTCATTCCCTTTACATGTATTTTCATTCCACAACAGAAAACAAAAACAAATACATATATCACGTACAATGGACAAAAAAAGGAAGTCGGGGGTCTTGTAAAATGCAGAGCTTGTCGAGTACAGGACCCCAAACAAGCGTATTAAGTGACAAATGTAACCTAAGAAACATTAGACTAGGGACAAACAGGCCTACATATACCAGCAGCAGAAGTTGACATGTACATGAAAATTAAATATGCAGGACAAATACCAATTACTGTGAATAAGTAAACCATGCAAAGCAGATATAAACAGAGTGGTGTGTGCAGAGATTGGCCGAGTTCGGGCGGCTTGTTCTCGTATGTTAACGAACAGCTCGATCTGTTCTTCGTGGGTCGGCCACACGAACGCTGGGAACAAACAACCAATTATTGCTGGTAGTTAGTGGCAAGCAACATGCAACATGGCGGCGTCCATGTACGTTATTCCAGAGTTAATGTTTGGATGAGCTGAATTTATTTTTCTGTCAACAGGAACATTCGTGTCTGTGTTGTGGAAAATAATTGATGTTTATTTTGCAAAACCTCCCGTAGTCTCTGGCTTTGGAAGCCATCTATCTACTTTTTGCAGCTGTTTAAAAATTAAAATCTCACGAGTTCTTCCGTGTGTACGTGTAAAACCCTGACAAGGAGGTGGTGTGTGATCCTGTTCCAAGAACAGTGTTCTTGAGTCGTTTTCCCGCCGTTCGAGCGCGAGAACAAGAAACCCGTGTCAAGAACAGGCCCCCCGAACTCGACCAGTGAGCAATGTGATATAAATGTATGAGATAAAATAATAAACTCATTCAAAGTATAACTTTTGTACATTTGTTTACAACATGTACTAGAAAAGCTGAGTTTAACTTTTCCTCCACGTTTGCTTGCAGAAAATCCATGTCCTTCCACAAAATAGTTTACAGCCAAAGTGACGTGCTTCGGCGCCGTCAGATAGAGAGGGCGTTGTCCGTATAGGGCGCCCTCTTCCTGGGGCCTTAACAACAAAAAATCATACAACCATCCCACTCCAAGTATTTATTTATCAGGTTGTGATCGGCGGAAGCCTCAAGATTTTACTTTTTCACCGTACTCTGCATGCTTACCGGGGAATCGTTCTACTTTTCTTCAGCTCCAAGGGGTATGGTGGATCAGGTTATGAACATCTGATTGGTTGTCGTGACTGAATTCGTCGTAAGTTGTCGTCAGGTCGTCTAGTCGCGTCGCGGCTGCCGGGACATGATGAACTTGGTGAAATACATTTGTAAAAATGTCACAAATGTTGAGTTAGTCTTCTTGCATGTCATGGTCTGAATCTGAATCGTATTGTCGGCAAAGCCTCCTTCAGGAACCATCACACCAACTTGATCATCACAGTCAATACGGCCTTATTCATTGTTAGCCATAGCCGATGAACGATCACTCACCGTCAACAGTTGTGTTCACGCTCGCTTGTTCAGTCCGAAAGACGAAAGTAGCCTGGACTTCCCAGCAGGTGCCAGGATAGTCCGAGGTCACCAGGCTTTCCCTTGATTGTATTTATGGCAAGTTTGCTCGATTTGCCTGATGAAGTCCTGTTGGCCATCCTAACCCATCTGAGCATCGCAGACATTGGCCGGACGGCCCAGGTGTGCAGGAGACTAAGCCATCTGATTGGTCAGGATGCTGTGTGGCGACCAATCAGCAAGAACCTTGTCAATATCCATGAAGAAGAGGATGAAACGAAGCGCTGTACTCACTACAGAACTGGGTAATTGTCAAAGCTGTTGATTGGTGTTAAATAACTACATATAGCCTACTTCTAGATTTAGTAACTATATAGAGGGATCCCAATACGACGCTTTTAGCGTCGATCTGCGCACTTCCGCATTTGAAAACGAGGCTGTATGTGTCAGCTTCAATTCTTGATTCGATCAGACGATTGAAAGTAAGGAGTCAAGACACAAAATACATAAAGGTATGCTAAATTCAGACTTTTCAGGCTGCATATTTTTGAGGAAGAGTCTTTCAGGATGACTCGACACGTAAAATCAGAAGAAAAAAATAACGGCAATTTACTGTTAACTAACATACCTGCGATGGTCGTGTATCTTGTGCAGTGGGCGTGGTTTAAACTGAAGTGGCGTCACACTTACGAACCGGATACTCCATGTACTGTGTGGACTCCGCGGGCGCGCGCAACGAAGTTCAACACAGAGAGCCTCGATTTCGATGCGGATATGCGCAGACGGCGCTAATGTGAAATCCATCAATAGCCTAAGTATTTGAACATCTTTAGGCCTACTCGAATAAAAAAAAAATAATTGCTCCATGGTAAACACCTTTGGTGGGTGGAATGAATGATCATAATCTAACAGTTTGAAATTTTTGTAAGTTAGCACTGATTGATACTTAACAAATGTCAAAGACAATCTAGTCAAGTTTCTCATTCGAGATATCAACGATTTTCCTTGAATCAATGATGAAGTTTTCATCTTGACTGACACAGGGAACGCATATTGAAATGTTTTGTTTAGCCTAAATGTTTCTCTGTCATTTGCTCCGTCAGCCGGCGATACGTCAGCCTGAAGGAGAAGTGTCGTATCTCTCTCAACTGGTCCACGGGGCACAAAAGAGACATCCTGCTATGCAAATTTAAAACAAGGTATGCCGCATTTTGCCTAGTATAACAGCAAGGCCTGCTGTTTGGCTAATGAGCATTCGCACATTTCAAAACACAAGAATGGATCCAATTTGTTAGGTGAATGAAATGCATGGCTGGTGATTTAGGGATTAGGTGGACTTACACATCAATAAGCGTACGTTTCAAATTATATGCCTGGAGTCCAGGAACCCTCGTATTCAACTGTAGAATCTTGACCACTGGTAAGCTTTGCTTGTTGATGTCAAGCAGCCAAATTGAATCAAGCAATAGAAATCACAGTCATTGACAGGAAGGAAACCCCTTCCAATGTGAAACAACAAATCTTAAATGCCATAAATCTGAGAGCTGAACTCATTTGGAATTACCATTTTGTCATCTGTTTTACTGAGTTTAAAAAAAAAAAATTCTGACCTTACACAGATGACCTTCGTGTTCCTGCTGAAGTAAAAGAAGAGCTGCGCTTTTCAAAGTAATTTTCTTTTTCAGTCACAAGACTGAAATCGGATTAAACTGATAACTCCCGCCATCTGTGCACGTAGGTATTTACCATGGCTTCAGCTAGACGGTCAGCATTTATACTCCAGCCAGGGAGACAAGGTCCACTGTTTCCGGTTGTCGGACCACGGCCACATCTTCAAGAAGCCTGTGGTGTCCTTCCTAGGACAGTCAGGTGACGTGTCCCGCTTTGTCGTCAGGAACGGGAATCTCCTGACAAGTGGCTGGTTCGTTCTCTACCATTTCACTTCCAAATCAGTGTCAGATTTGATTTAGGCCTGTCTGCAACCTCCTGAGTACCACTGGCCATAATGACCCCTGTATATACCAAAATGCTGCGTATGCCTTGCTTAAGGACAAATATATAAATACCATGTCCCCCCCTTAACAATTAAAACATCTTGAAATCACTGAATTTTGCCATTCAACAGGTTAGAAACTAAAAAAAATTCACTCAGGTTAATAAAACAGTGAAACACCCTGCTGCCAAAAATTCAGACTAAATATAGATTTATTTTGGTTCAAAGAGATGTCAATATATTTTACTTTGTTTGACAGTAAATATGTCATCTTGGTGTCTTTCTGCAGTGATGGCAAAATGCTGCTCTACCACAAGCACACTGGTGCCCTGCTGGGCTGTTACCAGCCGGACCACCGGCTGCCCAGCTGTGTCAACTTCACCTCAGTGGACATGACCGACGATGTGGTCATCGGCGGCCTGAATGACCAGTGCATCCACCTGTGGAGCCTCCACAGCCAGCAGAGCATACTGTCCATCCCTGTACTGGACAGGGTCTGGTCGGTCCACGCAAGCCCCAGTCAGAGGTCAGTTAGGGTCTTTGGTCAGAGCCAATCCCTTTAAAAGACTCATTCGAATAGACTGAGTACTTTCAAAGATTTACAGATTCCCAATAAGCTTTTCTTTTCTGTGTGTTGATTACTTCTTTTTAAAATTTTCCTCGTAGTTCTTTTGCGAGTGGTAACGCCGGAACAGCTGATCATCAACCACTGAAAATTTGGGATATTGAAAAGTGAGTCAACAAAAAGTCTGGACCAATAGATTGTTTCCATTTTTATTTGCCCTTGTTTAAGGAAGTCACAGAAAGTCGTACCCGCTCCATGAGCATGAAGGATCCTGTGTTCGGATCACTTTCACAATTTGACCATCTGTCAAAACTTTTTAAAAAGTTACACTTTTCCAATTCAAGTGGTTTCAAAGTGTCTTTCCTGTCATCAAACAAACTTAGAGATTCGTGAGGCTAATTTCTTTTTCCGAACGTCGTTCGTTTTTTTTTTCAGCGGTAGACACATATTGTCCGTTGGCAGTAATTGGAGACATGGCGCTGGCATTCTTCACATGCAGTACGAATCACCTGACACGTTGCTGTCTTGTGGATATGACACCGCAGTCCGCATGTGGGATCTGAGAACAAGCTGCCAGTGAGTATCGATGCTTAACAAACCCCTTTCCCTAATGAAATCAGGCTTTTCCTTCTTTGCCCATCGTCGACGAATTCTCAGCTAAATTCGTTTGCCCTACAAATGTATTTTTGTTGAGCATTTTTTTTTTCAGCCGTAGACACGTCTTGTCGGTTGGCGGTAATTGGAGACCCGGCACTAGCATTCTGCACATTCTGTGCATTGGTATGCACTAAAAAACTATTTTTGTTGAGGATTTTTAAAATTTCAATTAAGAAAGCAGAACTGTGAGAAGTTATTAACACTACTGCAGGTAACTCGTTCTGAAATTGAGGCACAAGTCAACAGAGTCACATTTGACGGAAAAGATCTGTATAAAAATCTTGCGCAATTCAAAGCAATAGGAAGCTTCCATATTTTTCACCCACATAATGGTCTGGAGACCAAACTGAGAGACATATCAACACAAAAGGTCAGAGTTGCTCTTTCTTATATAAACCGAAACAAAGTTACTGAAAAAACAGGCTTCGTGATTCCCTTTTCACAGAGTGGGTTAGTAGTTTGCTTGTTACGTCCGGCCTAGCTGTCACTGTGTATTGCATCCCGTTAATGCATTTTATATTTTGGGGATCGCGTCGGACGGACGATCGTTGGGATCTCCAGACTTGGAGAGTAGTCCTTGTCAAACAGCACAAGGAGGAGTATGCACAGCGGGAGGATGGCGTAGGGCCAGAAGTAGAGGGAGAGCTTCACTCTCTCTTCCGTCGTCACGGGCCCCGGAGATGGGGAGTTGGCAAAGTCTTGAAAGAAGAGCTGAGATAGGATGGCCTGCAGGGTGGTCATGGTGTGAACGGAGTAGATAATAGCAGGAATGCGTATCCAGTGGCAACTTCCTTTTAAGAAAAAAAAATTATTGAATTAAAAAATGATAATTCAGCAGACACGTTTTGTGAAAACTAAATTCGGTAAACAGCAAAGAATGAAAATATGGGGATAGTATTAAACAAAGTGTGAAAGAGATGACGACAGCGGGGTTTTTATTTTAAATAAAATCAATCATATTTTAGACTATTCTGGGCTATGGTATGCCATCCGTCGAGACAATGAGTGGCTACCTTTCAAGAATTTAAGAGTAGGCCCTTTTTTTTGGTTTCAAATTTTATTGCACTTTTAATGGGTATTTCATAGCCCAAATGTTAAAAATTGAATTAAAAAAATGCATGCATGTGGTGCCCTCAAATTTTGTAACATCTCTAAAGATTAAAACCAAAATTACCTTTGTAGAAGGCATAAACAGCAAAGAAGAAGAACGGAAACTGGAGTAAACATTCACCGTAAACAAATGAAAGGAACCATGGGTATGGTTCAGGAGTACAGGTCAGAGGGTCCTTAGTTCGTTTGCAGTGGTCGCTCAAGATGTCACAAAGCTAAATACAAAGAGAAAAAATTACGAAGATTGAGTTGTTGGTGACAAGAAATGTGTCTGTAAGTGTCAGTCCTGTCTTCCAATTTGTGTTGCTTCAAATCATTTGGGATGTATACATACGGAGAGGTGACTGCCTCAAGGAGTGAGTTTAACACAGGACATCAAAACAAGACAAGATCACAAATTTGACGACCGGAAAACGGCCCGGTACTCACCCATTGCGGGAACAGCCGTGACGGCAGAATCATCTGCGAATCAACACACACCGTCACCAGAATATGTGAAGCGAAGTAGACGACAATCACCCACTCCAGCACCCGCATCAATCCCTTGGCCATGCCTGTTTACAGATTCCCGACTGGTGCAACAGGATCTGTTAATTTAGTGCTACTTAAAACTGTCCGATTTTTACCACTCTATGTTGCTTCCCCTGTAGACATATTCAGTGTGCGCTCAGTATCGGTGAAAGAGACAAATTGGCGCCTTGTGTAGGGTTACCAACGTGCAGTGCACTGTTGTTTACTCTGTATTTACTATTTTTAATTTTTTTGGGGGGGGGCAACTGATTGGCATACTTTTTGAAGTTTATTTACATCTCTCTTTGACCTGTCAAAAGACTTATCTCTTATCACATCATGTAGCCATTGCGAGCAAGGCGAATATGGAAGCCACAGACATCTTGTACCTTGCCCTGTGAACAGTGAATGAAAATGTTAGTGTGCCAAGTTTCAGCTATAATACAATGGACTAATCGTTAGCAATCGTAATGCACTCAGTTAGAATCTGGTTCAAAGATATTATGAAGGTATTGTAACAATTGTAGTTATTTACTGGGATAGACCTTTGATAATCGTCTCATCTAGGGGTAGTGCATTTAGGGGTATTTTAGTAACCTGCTTTACATCAATACCGGGCTCCTGGATACCCTTAAAATATAAAGTACACTTAGCAAATGGCATTGCGTGCAGTCCTGGCAGAACATGTGCCCAAACAGGGCTCCTTTTTTTATACAGGAAGTAGCTCATTTTGCTAAACTTCAGAAAGGAATCTGCCCCATCTTTTTATTAAATGAAATTGTTACCTTCAGTTAACAGTTAGCTCTGTTAATCTCTGAACCACAGTTATTACCGTGGGACCGGATTTTTCAGCCCTTCACGTACATATTATTTGTGGATTTTTTGTTTCTTTGTTTGTGGGTACCCGGCCCAACAAAATGGAACCAGGTTTTGATATCGACGGGCACCCAGGGTACCGGGGAACCCAGCACAGGCCCATCTCATTCGACACACTCTGTGGGCCTACCAAAATGAACTTGTCCCTGGTGATTGCTTGTGTAAAATCATTCAGCTGCCCTTCACAAGGTCTTGACCAAATCTTCATTTCCTAAGTTCCTGTACAACCTCTTGTCGCACCTTACATATTAAGTATTAATAAGACGGTGAATGGGTGTGGAATTCAACCTCTCTCTGGCAGACATTCCTCTGTTCCACCCTATCAGCTGATTTGCTCATTAATTTTCCATGGAAAGAAATTACAACTTGAAATCCCCCCCACTCTAAGTCTGGTTGATATAGGATTTTCTTCTTCTTGTTTCCGACTTCCCAGATGAATGCCTATTCTGGACAGTTGATCCTGCTATTTTTCAAGCAGAACTACAAAAATGTCTCAATTTGTCCACTGGTACTTTCACATTCTCAACAAAACCGAATAATATGATTACAAGTAGATAGAGTTCATTTTCCACTAGCAACTCTGATTCTGCGCAACCCACTACATTCACGACAAAATCTGGCAAAGATGACCTTTTATTCCCTGTTTATCCTGCAGGTCTCCCGTTATTGAGCTGGAAGACCCCCACGACTACACCGTGTACCGTCTGCAGTCGGACGGCAAGTACCTGATCGCTAGTGGGACGGCGCTGTGGAGCGTGGTCAGACTGTGGGACAAGCGCATGACCAAAACGTTACAGGTACAGTGTGGCGAGAATTGTTGACACTCATGCTACTCACGAGAGCTGAGGGAGCGCACATGGCACTCTCATGCACCGCTTTGTTTGCAACCATATCAGGCCTTACCGCAGAGCAGAAGTGGGTTTTTTTGGGGTTCGAGTCGCGATTCCTAAATGGCATTTGCCTGCAAACGGCCCGTCCAACACAGTTTTATCAGGGCTTAATTTCTTGGCAAGAAAAAATCTCTGCTTACTCTACAATAAGCCTTTTTCATATGTTGGAAAAGAACTTCAGCTTATAGCATGTCTAAATCTATATTACGCTTACATGGATAATGAAAATTTCCTTGTTACCTCTTAAGATTTAGAGTGGCTTATCTTAAGGGTAAACTCTTGTACTTCGCAGAGCCCTAGAATTAGTTTATGGTGTTATCTCTTCAGCGAAGTACTGCCGTCATTGAGTTGGTTAATTGGTCTGCCTCTCGACATAAAACACAGGGCCATTTGCTCACATAATTCACTATCCTCTACTGTGTGCGTCAGCGTGTCATAACATTACCTTGTTGATATTCCCACTTCTGTTGCCATTCTTTTCGCCGGCAGCAGAGTTTCTTTGTCGACCGCCGGAGCAACAGTCCAGTCTACAGCTTGCAGTTCAACGGCAGCCACATGTACGTCGCTCTGAACACGTCACTAAGAGCTCTGAGTTTTGCTGCCAACTGAAGAAAATACACCATGCTAAACGTTCACAGGCGGCGTCTCGTACTGAGGCTTGAATTGAAACTTGTGTTGGTTCATACATAACTGAAGGGCAGGCACCATCTTTGGGCACGGTTAGTACCATCACTCTTGTGCGGTGGTTGAGAGCGCCGACACCTGCAGATTATGCTGGAAAGCAGCGATGCTGAAGCACCTTTTCGTGTGACGGTGCCCCAACTTCTTCAGCCATACCAGTAAATCAGCCCGGCTGACTTCAAATGTCATGAAAAAACTTTTAAGCAGCTTGGCAGCTGTTCAGCCTAGCAGGATTAAATGGCTTGTCTGCGTGGAAGAAGTCACTTTTAGGAGTTTTGCATTATAGCGTACAGTTCATCAAGCCTGTACAGGGCAACGTTGGCCACAACTTCATTCCACCCACCAATGTGGCGCCTGCCCGTATGGAAGTTGCAGTGGCCGTACATTTTTACTGGACTGAATTAGTATGCTGGAGAGTTTTTACCTCAAAAAGAGGACACCAGCAAAAAGTGTGACTTGACCGAGGCTTTGTAAAACAAAGAAAATGGATAGTTTTTTGAATTTGGTTACCTTGATGGTCAAAGGCATCTTCAACTTTGGCGTCTAGCTGCTTTAGTCTTGAAGCCTTGAGGGTAGAACTTTGCATTTATAGTCCAAAACCTCTCTGACAAGGTCGTTGGGACTTAATATATTAACTTATGAGTGCAGGGGTATTTTTCTTTCTCACACTGAAATCAGACAAAAAAATATGTTTAATCACAGCTTTCTACAGGTAATATGTGCAAGATGATTTTGATTTTGAATCCACGTAATTATGCCATTTCTGAAATTCACGACCCACACAAAATCATTCAACTCTACATATCAAATACTCAAAAAGTATTTCCGATTTGTATAAATTCCATTTTAATAACAATGCAGACAAGTCTACCAACGAAACAAAAATCTCTTCCAAACAAGATGATTTTTGGTTTTGCTCGCGACTTTTATTAATCGTTAAGTACAACCTCTTTACTGCTTAATGCCCTCCCGAGCCAGGGGACATGTAAATACAGAACTTCTGTACTCTATTCACGTTTATGATGATGAAACTTCAGAACACGAATCAAGGTCAGATTATTGGAGCCGATTGTACAAACTGGTTTCCGAAGACACACAACATCTGGCAAAGCAGAAGGTTCGAAATTTAAAAAAAATCTCTAGCACCGGCGACCTCCTTGTTTCGGTATTTCGTAGTCAGGCTCATGTCCTCTGCAAGTACTCTGTGCAGGCATGGTATTTTCAGGGGGAAACAACAGTCCCCTTTCGAAATGCATGCACATGTCTGACCACTTTTTAAGCAGCAGTACGAGCAAAAGAGATCACGCTATTCCACAACTAAAAAACAATTCGAGGGCTCACCGTGGCGATACTCGCCTAGATCCCGCAGAGAGATCAACTCCCATTTGAGGCATTTTTTGTATGTGTGTGTGTCCAGGCTACTGAACTTTCATTTCCAAAATGGGAAAGTCTGTCATAAGCCCCGTTCCAAAATACTGATGCTCAAGCTATAACTAGCCACAAATGACTAATAATTCTTTGAATAAACATATGCATGAAGTCCCATGCACGGGGAGAAAAAAAAAGGACCATGTGACAGAAAATGCACAGGGTTCACACAAATCTTGAAAGCATATTACATGACTTCCAAGACTTTCCAAGACAAAACTGTGACAAGTTCCATGACATTAAACCCCCATGTTGCAGAGAAAAGTAGTCTGGTATTGTAAACTGGAAGACTTCCAAAGCCGCTACTTTGGCCTGTGAAGTTATCTTTATTCCATTGCAACATAAAAAACATTCCACAGCCTATCCAAAATAATGACCTTAATTTCCTTGCACCCCCCTCTGACAACAGGATTCCGTGACATCCTAGTTTCCCCGTTATCCACGACCACTGGAGCCCTGTTGCGCAACAAAGAATTGAAGCAAACAGGTTTCAGAGTACCAGCGGCACGCAAGGATTAGCCAAAACTCTTACGATAAGCAGGAGGCCCTTTAAAATGCTTTACGCTAACCTAGCGAATGCGTAACGAGTACAACTGTGTATTTCATCCGTTTGCGTTGGGCCACTGCGCAGAACTGATAAATTCCAGAGCTGTAGCCGTACGCACTTACCACGGAGGTCAATTAAAATCAATTTTTACAGTCTTCAAATGTACAACGTATGTATAATTATGTATCCTTACAGTTTACTTACAGTCAGGGATAGTTTCATGTTACAATCAAGTAACAGAAGGGTCATTCTATAAATCTGGGGTTCAGCGTGACTTTGTGTCCCAGTTACACCTGGCCTGTACTAATTTGACAAGGGATATCGCTGTGTATCTCTAAAACTGACTGGCAACTACTTTTGGCAGCTACGCTGCATTACTCAACCACTCTAGATATTGAAGAATGGGCTCGGAACCGACCAGATATAACTGGGACATGAAACCAGATTAGACACCAAATTTATAGGCCCATAGTGATTTCAAAGGGAGAAAAACGGACACAAATCCAACAGCACAACAGAAACGGGTAAGCATTAGTAGTACTACATGAACTACAAAATTATAGTAAGGATTTACTTGATGATTCTGCAGGGGATATTTATTCCTTAATATGAACGTAAATGCAAAATTAGGCCTAGTGGATAAATTAAAGCAATGAAACATGAACAACCAAATCGTAGCTTTGAAAGATTTTTTTTTTGTCTCTTGGCAAACTTTTCATTTCAATGACAAAGACGTTTGGGATTACAATCCGACAATTTTTGTTTTAAGTAAAGGCAGTACCGAGGAAGAGTACTTTTTTCACGAGGAATGACCAATCACACGAACAAGAAGTTATTGAAACTGTGACTTGTCTACAATTCTGCTGAACTGACATGCAGGAAAAAAAAATCGCCTTTTTTTCCTCCTAGAATGAAAAGAAAACCTGTTGGTCATCCAATGTCCCACTTTCAATCCCAATGATCGCAGTCAACTTTTGACAAAAAAAAAAACCTATTCAAAGATTTATAACCAGTGAAATGAACAACAAACATTTGAAACAGTATAACACCAAAACTTTTAGCTCGTAAAGAAGAAAAAAAAATTGTTTATCGTTTATTTTTTAATCTTTTTCTATGATAAATAAATTATGATATTTCCACACTGGGCAAGGATGACATAATTCTTGGTCTGCCTTTGACGCCAACTATGGTGTGTGCTGTTGATGAAATGCTGAGGGAAAGAAGTCTTGTTTTCAGGCTTACTGCTTCATCCGTGACAAGACCAAAGACTTGTCATCAGCTTCAGGATCAGAGATGTCTCTGTTTCCAAAAGACTGGTCCTACTCGTTTTCGCACGAGGGCTTTCTAAAACCAGATTTCTGAAACAGAGGTCTGGAATCCACGTTGAACGGAATCCATCTGAAAATGCAAACTGGTTAACTGGTACCCAGCAATAACGCAGTGTCACCACTTTCACATGCTTTTAACCGTCGCTACCTTGCAAATTTAAACAATAAACAAAGGTTTGTTTAACAGGAAAGATTCTGTGTAAACTTTTTTTCCACTGAACAATTCTTTACAAATTCTGCACATGTTAAACCAAGCAGACAGAATAAAAGACATAGACAATTGGTAAAAAAGCACTGAAACGTGACGCAATTTGGTTTTGTTGGTTGTTTTAACAATCTATAACGAGAACTAGATGATGACGACCACATTTCCTTTTCTGTTTTTTTATTTGACTTGATGCGATCCTCACCAAAAGACACCGGCAGGCAGTTTGGATGAATTTGGACGCGTTGCTCAGTTATCGTACACAACTTTCTGCCACGGCTTGATGTCCGCCCCTTTGGACTCCTTGTAATGTTTGTACTTGCACCTGTCGCCGAAGACGCAGCCCGTGGTCCGCCAAAAGTAGCACTCGTTGCCATTGACCGGACCTGTGACCTTGTTTCCACTGCAAAGCAACAAACAAAAACGGTTGTCAATTTTCTTTTTGCCTTGACCACTGCCAAAACAGAAACTTACTTTGGGTCGGCACTGCCAACAAAACTTCTAACGCGTCCATCTGAAGGTCTGTTTTGAAGGTGCGCACCACATGACATCTCTTTTGCGAGTGAATTTCTGAAAAGAACTGGGTGGACTCAACGTTTCGGAGAGTAAGCTCTGAACGTCATCAGGAGACTGAAAAGATGCAAAGCGTGGAAGGGATAACAACCTTGTCCGTCCTCAGTCTCCTGAGAGCAGACGGAGCAATCTGACTGCCAGGTTTCCCACAGAAATCTAAAAACCAAACTCCAGGATTTTCCAGGACTAAATTACCATCTTGGTATTTGGAACAGGATGACTGCCCTAGCCACTACTCTTGACTAAGATAAAGCCTATAGTTTATTATTCTATTATCGTGGTCCATCAAAAATAACTCTTGCATGATATTGATTTGTAAGACTTTTACTCTATTTTTTCCTCCGACAACAGGATACCAGGATACCCTATTTTTCCCCAATTTTTGATTATTTTCCACGACAACTTTTCCCATGATTTTTCATGATTTTCAATGACCTTTGGAACCCTGCTCGCTCACAAGAGATTTCATCAAACACGACTGCAAACCCGGATCACACCGAAAGTCTTTTGGGTGTCGTAACAATTCCAATCAAAGCAAAAAAAAAAACAAAAAACAGAAGTTGTGACGGCCAATACCTTGAATCATTTTGGTCGTTGCTCGCCCGACCTGTTTTTGGCTGCTTGGTAGGGTTAATCTTCTTCAGTACCGTGGTGCGGGGCTGGCCATCCAAGATAGGGTTGTCTGGAAATTTTATCAAAAGGAAACTGCCGCCGAGCTCTACGCCCTGTTAAGGTTAAGATTACAAATAAAAGTCAGCGGTGATCAACGACAGATGTCTCAGAATGATATCTATATTTTAGGAGCCAAATGTCATTACCTGAAGTGTCTCCAGGGCCCTCGCAGCCTCCTCGGGACGCTTGTAGTTAATGAAGGCACAAAAGCGGTCAGGAAGGCGACGAAGGCTCTCAATTTCCCCATAACTGAGGGCCACAAATCAAACAAAGACCCCAAAAAAATTGGAATAACCACTTCCTGCATCGGCTTTGTGAATGTCTTAAACTTACTAGGGACAGAGAGTTTAATAGAACCCACGCAGAGTTGACGGAAGAAGGAACTGCAGGTTTGAAAGGTGTTTGAATAACAGAGGCATCGATGCTGAACTCTAGCAAAAAGACAATTCTTGGATCTTGCAAAAATGTTTCATCTCCTAGCAGCAGAATCATTATCCTGTCCTAAAGTCCACAAGGGCGTATTTTGCACTGGGTGCTTTCTTCCTTAAAATCAAGAGCGACTGTTTCCACGTGGTGATCACGGTTTAAATGGACTGCCTGAGGGAGTGCACTGATGCCTCGGCTTAAGGAGTCCCAGAATTTGATGTGATTTGATGAATTTATTGTCCATATTTGGATATTTGTTTTACACTAGATCGGAAGAATAATCACAATTATTACCACAAACATCTACATATTATATGTTAACAATTTATCGATGGTATAACAGTGTATGTTAGTTAGGTTTTCGCTCAAGTTTGTAATCTAAACGGTCAAGAAGCCAGACTTACAGCCCAAACATATCTCTCAGTTGCTTCTCGGATACTGTAGAATGAAGATTGCCAACCCATATGGAGCGTAGATTCAATGGATTGCAAGAACTGAAGGGGGGGCAAAACGGAGCAATACTCACAGTTCAGTTCCAATTCACACAAACACGAAAAAATCACACAACACTGCAGTCGACACGTATGGTGTCATCTGGTCACCGAATATGCACACAAAGACTGGAAAAATTTTTATATTGGAAGATTATTTTACAAAACATAACAACCTGAATATGACCTGCTAAAACCAGAGCATCTGACAGCTAGGTCATTCCAGAAATTAGGGGTCCAAAAGTGTGACATTTTTGTGTCCCTGTTACATCTGACCTTTGTTATTTGACATGGGAATATCACCAGAACTGATTTCAAACATTTACTGTTTGTTTGGTAGGTAATTTGCATTAGTTCATCACTCTTGGAAATTAGAAAATGTGTTCTGAACTTACAAAATCATGTCAGATGTGGCAGAGGCACGAAAAAAACATGGACCCTAGCTCCTGGAATTATCCAAGTCTATCAGGAGTGCTATAAAATATTACACAGAGCTGTACCACACTGTAAGGATAAATTTCACAGAGCACTGCTACGTTGTGCAACGTTCTGTGTATGAATGCAAAGTTCTGAAACAATAGATTGTTCTGCAGCAACACCACAAAAAAAATCATCAGGATCTCAGAACATAAACCCGACCACTGCAGTTTAATTGATAGTTTTCTTTTATTGTATAAGTTTATTCATCTGCTGAGTTGAAAAGGGGGTTAATCTCAAGACCACTGGACAAGTCAGGAAAATATTCCCCCAACTGTTGGACTTACTCGAGTTTACTACGTTCAATGGTTTCTGTAATATAGTCCTCCTCGTCCGAGATATACACGTCCTCGGGGAAGGAGTTGATGACGCCCTCGACGCCATTGGTTAACAGGGCGTCCAGGGCGGCCTGCACCGAGCCGTATTGACGGATGGCAGCATCGCTTTGGGGCCGACTGAAGCCCATCTCCTGTTGCAAGCCAAAAAGTCAAAATTGGGCCGGACGTTGGTTAGTTCTGCCGAGTACGCCAGGGGAAGAAGGGTCTCAACGACCTGAATGGTTCAGGTTCACATGAGGACAACTGCTGCAAGGAAGGGGCGTTTCAAAATGCTCTCCACCACGAGCCCAGTTTTCTACTTTGTGGTCAGGTTAACGATAAGTTCACACTTCAGGCAAATGGAAACTTAAAGCAAATTTGATGTCACCAACATCTCCGGCAAAATTCACTTGGGTTCAAATGGGGTCAACTCTTGCAAATTAACAGTGCGACTATATGATCTGATGCCACCAAATTGTAACAGTGTCAGAATCAGCCTCAACAGGCAAACAAAACAGCTGAACTTGAAGCCGGAGGATAACACAATAAATGTTTTAACTAGGGCATATTATTAATTGCAAAAAAAGAAGGGACTTCACCATAAGTCGTCCAACTCGGACTTTGTGGAGCTCCTCAACGGCATCTTCACAATTTTTATCCAATTTGAGTACGTGTTCAAATGCTGCTTCCGCCTCGGCAAAACGCTGTGAATTCAAAGCGAATAACGCCATCATAATTTTCTCCTCGCCGCAATAAAGTGACACATGCATCTGAAGTTCTAATCAAAGTTTGTCACTCCAAACCAACCCCCCCGATGTTTTGCCCTTACACCGACAGGTATATGTACACTTAATTTTCGGTGTGGCAATAAAAAATCACATGCCGGCTTGGGTGGGATTTGAACCCAGGACTTCCTGCCTACTTGGGCTCACACGTTAACCACTCGATCAAACAATTTACCAGGATCAATGGCTGGCTGAAATCCAATGCGATAGCCGCTTTTATTTTTACTCATTTCATTAAGTGCAGAAAAACAAATTAAGAATCAAACATTTTCCTTCGCAGAATAAGGTTAAAGAGCCATTCAAAACACCAGATAAAAGAAAAAAATTCCCAGGTTTCTAAAAAGAATTTTCCCGGTGGATGATTTTTAATTAGCAACCGACTGACTCACCTTTAGGCCGACTAGTGCGCGCCCTTTTCTAAAATGTCCCTTTGGCCAATCCTTTGATAAAGTAATAGCGCGATTTGCATCTTTTAAAGCACTGGCGAGAAAAGAAGACAGAACAGAAATTGAGCATATTAGGGCAAATACCTTGGGAGATAGGTCAAAACAGACTTTGTGATTCATTTCAAAATATTCCCTGGTTTGATCATGACCTGCGCGCTGTATTCTCATCGATCAACTTGCAAGAAGATCTTTTCTGAGTATAAGAGTAATTTCTTATCAGATGTTCGTATAAGACAACAATCTATTTTACATGTCTTCTCTTACCTTTCATACTCTTCTAGACGATCATAGCAAAAAGAACGGTTTCCAAAAAATCTGCAAGAGCAAGGAACGGCAAGTTGGATAGTTTGAAATTCACTCATTGACAAAGAAAAGTTATACCCACTGATAATGCGTCTAGTGAGAAGTTGCTTGTAATTACTGCACAGACATAGACCTACCTGCTCTGAGTCTTGTCCGAGCTGACCGATGTACAAAATATCTGCTTACAGTAACCAATTAAAATCACTTGGTCCAGTACATCATAAGGCATCGACTGAAGTCACCTGAGGTGCTCAAATCGGCAAACGTCTTACCTAAAATCTCTCGGGTCCAACTCTATCGCTTGAGTAAATAGTTCTATAGCTGCACTGTAGTGGCCCAAGTTTGCCATTTCATTTCCTTTAACTGAAGAGAAACACCGACACAAAAGAAAAACTCTGATCAATTTCCGAGCATCTTGGTGTCTCACAGTTTCGTTTCAATTCTTCTGTACAGCAAGAGAATGGTTTCAGCGGATCTGATGAACATCATCAGCAAAAAGAAACCAGGCACACAAACCAGGCAATAAAAGACAACTCTTTTTGTTAAAATTAGAAAAAGGCATCGTGGATGGCTGACTGAACACTGGACATCTCCCGAGTCAGTATAAATCCCATACCCACTGCTTCACCCAAAATGAAGAGATCCTAAAGGGAGAGATACAGTTTGCCTGTGTAGACATCGTCTCAAATCAAAACTTGTAATCAGAAAACCATGCAGATGCCTTAAGAATCGTCTCCTATCTCTGGTGCGGAATCTTGGACAGGATTTGGGCTGGATCTTGGGCGGGACTTGGGAAAATTTCCAGAGTATCCTAAGGATTGGGACAATTTGGTTTTTTTTTTGGAAAGGAGGGAGTTCAGCAAAAACTCACCCGCAGTTTGTCTGCTTTGCAAAACAATCGGATCCATGTTGTCAATCTATAAACACACAGGAAAACAACACAATTTAACACCTCGTCAAAGCGGAGGTCAAAAATGTTTAAGGTACACAGAAATCTGCAGACAAAGTCTTCGGCTATTCTGTCGTTATCTAACAAATTGAAATGCAAGGCTTTCACAAATGGTGCTAGCATGTTCACAGGTGCCTGCAGTCAAGCTTATGCGCTTATAGATATGGCGACACCTGATGACTTTGGCATTTTTTAACAGCCAGAGTTTTACGATGCCAAAGACTGGCTCATTTTGGGTGCTTTTCATGAAGCCTTCTCCGGTGGGAAATAAGGACAGACCAATAACAGATCTCAAATGAGACCAAGCTGCCCCTGGGATGGTTTTGAGAAATTTGCCGGGTCAGTGGACACCTCTTGGAGCCAATAAAAATATGTGGGGCAATACTGCTGATACACTGCGCCTTTTCCCTGGTTTCAAGAACCAGGGATTGAAAAAAGGCATTCGGACAAAATGAATCCACAACGGCACAACGGGAAAGTGGAACCCGACAAGCTGGGGGGTTTGATGAGGATGAGACTGGCATGTTTTTTTCATGATGGTGGGAAGGGGAGAGATGATGTTCCCTGCTGACGAATCCAGTGGCCAGGGTTAACCTGTCACTGGGCGTCCCAGATAAGTAAGCCCTATGGTAACTGTGTACAGTATGTAGCTAGTGTTCTGTGGCAGTTACTCTGGACAAAACCCAAATATAACACTTTCTACTGTTCAAGGGGGTGTCGAAAATGTCTGGTAATAATTTTCGTAGGAATGGTTTATAGGATGACAATTTGAGATGGTTAATAATCCCATGATGGTCTTGGATTAAGTCGCTGCCTTCACCTATAAAATAATGGCACACAGACATGTTATGTGTTTTTTACCGACACTAGTGGATTTTTTTTAGAGTGCCTCAGAGTTGTAACAACTCGAGTCAGTGGCGTGACTTGAGTCCGATTTGAGTCACAATTTATGGTGACTAGACTCAACTTGAGTCCTGACTGGTGAAGGACTCAACTCGATGCGAGTTACTATGAGCAAATGATTTGACTCCACTTGAGTCCATCAGAAAACCTGACTCGAGTAAAAGTTAATAAGACCTGAGTCCCAAAAAATTAAGAGCAAATTTCTTTGTGAAGAAATACTTGCAACGACTTCTAGCACCAATTTATAACATTCATATCATGTATTTTTATCAAGACTAAGATGTGGTGTGACCAGATGCAGAAACCCAGAGGTAAATTTTAAAAAGGAAAAAAAAAAAACGTTCTCTCTTGTTTTTATTTATCTTATTGTGTTCAATCATTGGTGACTCAAATCGACTCTAGCTTAATACTGGACTTGACTTGACTCTGATTTTTTGCCCAATGACTCAACTCGAGTCACTAAGTTACAATGGCTCAACTTGAGTCATAGAAGTTAGTGACTTGTTACAACTCTAGAGTGAGTGATATCAAAGTGTGATGGGTGGAATGTGCAAGTTAAGAAAGAGGAGGGCGTTACTGACTTGATCTGAACTCATTGCCCTCACCGACTCCGCCTCCTCATTCTGGCCCTTGGCTCCACCCCCCTTTTTCTTGGCCTTGTCTGCCTTGGGGGCTGACCGCTTGATGTTGGCTGTCGCCCCGGCAAAGAAAGCGCTGTCCCGGTCCCAGCCTGCAATGTCATCGTCCCCCGTGGGGTCCGACGGCTCTTGCACCCTGCCGAGGATTAAGAAACGGGAGAAAGAACAAAGGACGAATGAAACTCTCAACCTCTTCTGCTCTCAGAAGTCCACTCAGCAGTCCTTGATCTTTTCAAAGGACCACGGCATAGGTTTACCCTTTTCCTGAATGAAATGACAGAGCTCCAGAAAGCCCAGATTTGGAAGGAACACTTTTTTTTTAGGACAATTGTACATATGTACAATGAAGGGCTTAGAACACATCCTTCTTGTCAGGACCCAGGGCTAGAGTTAAAAGAAACATCAAGTCTGCACCAATCAAAATCAATAATCTACTCATCCACCCTTCAAAAGGCTGGGTGCATCCAAAACAGTTGTTTTGGGTTCGTTTTTTACAAGATGAATGACTGCTTACCTGTTACTGAGTTTAGTTTTTGAAGAACCGAAATTGGTGGACATAGTGTCGTGATTGACTCTTCCGGTAGACGTCGAGTGTGTTGTTCCCTGGGCAGAAACAAGAAATAAACAAAACACAGTCTCAAGACCAACTGATGTATGACGGCAGCTTGGATGGACTGTTGATTAAAAACTGTCAACTCCCACGTACAAAATTAAGACAAATCTTTCTCCAATACTTGATATAGCTGGAGAAATGATGACGGGAACACTCCTGGACACTTGAAAATCTACCAAGAGGTTTGGAAGGTTTTTCGCAAGATTAAGGAAAGTAATACCCTACCATTATTACTTTATTTGGGGATCGATGCCCCCCTTGAAAGTTAAAGTCCAAATTGCGCAGGGGATACATTGGAAGGATTGAGGTGGTTCCCATTCAAGATTACGTTGGGTACAACTTTCAAATCAGATCTTGACAACAAACTGCAAATCTTTCATTTCAAAGGTCTGGCAGATGTAAATGGTTCTTCTGGACTCAAATGGACTCTGTGGGCATCCTATTTGAATCTCGACAAACTCAGAGGACACATTCTTCCTTGACTGTCAACGAGCAGCAAGCCACCGACGGGGGAAATAAAAGGAGCTAACCTGGAGTAGGGTCGATGAGTTGGTAGGCTGGGACATCCTCTGTTTGAGCTCTGCCTCCCGCTTGGCCTTCTCGGCCGACTCTCGGGCTTTCCGCAGGAACTCCTCCTGGCGTTGCTTCTCTTCCTGCTGGCGGGCCTCCTCCTCCTCCTTGCGAGCCCTCTCTTCCCGCTTCTTCTCCCGCTGCCGCTTTTTCTTGGACTTGCGCTTCTCCTTGGACTTCTTCTGCCGCTCCTCTTCTGCCATCAGCTCCTCCGCATTCTTGCTGGCCTCCTGAAGAAGGCAAATTTTCCCATTTTTCTGGACTGTGTTCAAAGTTTTTTTTTTCATTTGTTTCTTTTTAATACACTGACCCAGGCTTTAAAACTAAACCTAAGTACACGGTTGAGAGAGAGAAAAACCACCTGGGGTACTTGCTGAATGTATGAATTAACATTCCTCTGGGAACAAGGTGGATCAACGGTTTGGAGGTAAACAAGAATCCGGCCTGGAATTCCGTTGAGATAGAGCATGCAGAATTTTTATAACAGCTGCTACAACATCAATGCTCTCCATCGAAGTTAGAGGCTAGCAAAGCTAAAAATTCTACGAAGTACATCTGGCAGTAATTTGGGGCGTCCTGACTGCATTATCAAATTTGCCTGAATTTACTCGGAAATTTAACACTTGTGAGTTCTTTTGTCTTCAACTGCAATGGAGTTGGGCCTTAAAGATGTGAAGAAACTCACGAGATTGACTTACACTCTCTGTTGGTCTGTTTGCTGTATAAGAATATTCTGAAATGCAACACACACAAAAGAAAATATTCACTGGAAAGATAATCCCAATGATTTTTTTCGGCACAATATTTATTTCAAATAGGCTCTTTCAATACCTTCCTTTTTCGACGGGGGTTGGTGTTAATAACGCACTTTAATCCACACAGCTCGGGGTGAACGAGGTGGTGTGACCTGCACAACCTTTGAACTTTGAACCACATGACCTGGTATGATTTATTTGCGACCCCATGCAGCTACACCAAGGTATCCACAACCGCATGTAATCTGTTTCGGTGATCAAACAGAGCAGAGTAGGTCTTTACCTGTAGTTTTTCTGTGAAAAGGTCGTCTTCTTGATTCCACCGTTTCCCAGAAATCTTCATCACTGTCGTCATCATATTCGTCACTCGTATCAATATAACCGTTATAGGAAGCTGGAGAAACAAAAAGGCACAAGATTTGTAAAATGTGCTGAATCAATTTGATGTAGCATTTTTTTTTTTACGAGCATCTATCACAATGCCAAATTAAACTTTGTAGTACTGACCCCCGGTGTTTAGTATAAATCACAAAGAAATCCAGTAGGAATAAGCCACTTGCAGGTTAAATTTGAATAAAATCTGGTACACTGTGTTATCCGATTGCACAGAAACGTAACAACTAAAGACACTATTGCTATACCTCATGATTCGGGGCAAGCTTTTGCATAGCGACCACCATCTCTGAAATGAACCTGTTTCTCTGTGCCGTTCTTATCCATTGAGAACAGCATATTGTTGCAAGGCATCTCTTGTGTCACTAAGCAAAAGCGTGCCCCGAATCACGAGGTATAGCAACAGTGATTAATTACGTGATAATTACGTGAATTTGAAGAGCTCAGTGTACCAGATTTTATTCAAATTTAACTCGCAAATGCCTTATTGGCAGGGTTAGGGATGAAGATTCATCCTGATTTCATGGCAGTATCAGGGAACGCTCCCAGAACTTGTCAAATTCCAAGGATGGTCTAAACAAAGAACGCATTTTTGAAGCAAAAACTGGAAACTGCCAGAACGCCAATGGTCCAATATGAAAACTGAACGAAAATAGAATTCTCTTCCTCTTCCAAGAATGTATGGGAATTCACAGAAATTACTGTAATCTTAAACACCCACTTTGCAGAACTTGTGACCTCAAACCCAAATTGGTATAGGAAAAGATATTGGATTTTGACACCTCCTGTCTCACTGGTGGCAAACACTATAAAGTCCATGTCTTTACGTTTCATATTTTTCGATGTGTTTCTACATTAGACCTTTATTCACAGAGAAGCCATTTTTGACGGTGTTCCTTGAATCTATCTTATTCATTGTAATCTGCTACATGGGATGGTGCCAGACTATTTCGGGTTCCTTGCCTCACTGCAATTTTCTTTTTTTTGTAGTTAAACATTTTATACATAACAAATAAAATTATTCATTGGCATTAATTACACACATTTTTAGGGTACTTTTGTTTCACTGTTTTCATGTTTACTGTCAGGTTCCTAAAAAAGCTTGAAATTACTCAACTGACTATACGGACCTGTTAATAAGGCCGATAGAAAAGGAAAAGTCCATGTACTATGTAACTGATGGTTATCATACATGTAGGGGCCTAATTACATTTATTTCCATTTGATTTCGCATACAGAAACCTACGACAAAGACATTTACATATCCTACCTCTAGAACCAAAGAAAATCTGTGCAAATAACTCGAACATGTCATCCTGTAAAAGTGAAAACAAAACAACAGAAACTTGAGACTTGGGAGAAACTGTGCAATAAAGTTTCTTCTGGCCTTACGAAGACGGCGGTGAAATATTAACACGTAAAGAAACAGATGCATGCTAAATGATATTTTCTTTTTATTCTTTTCTTGAAATTCTTTTTTCAAATCTCAAAAACCACGCGTAAACACTGGAGCAGGCGAAAAAGAAAAGCCAAAGAGCAGAGCATCATTTCTGTGGTTTAAACACTGTACAGTAAAGTCGTTCGACCTTTGGTTTCAATAGGCCTTTGTGCTGATGATGTGACACTTTGCATTCGAGTGAACTTTCTTATGAAGCCAGGCGGGTCCACGGTCCGCTGAGCACCACAGAAAACCAACCATGCCAAAAAATGTGGTGTAATCGGTATAGAGATGTACCTAAATCTACGTCTGGTCCACACGTATGTTCACCCAGCACTGTCGTCTGTCGGTGTATCAATTTAAAGAAGACCACACCATCAACTGGGAAG